GACTCGTTTGGTAAACATATTATGAGAAGATTAAATATTGAATTGTACTATTTTTTATTTAATCCGACCTAATACTTTGTTTGGTAAGTAAATTTAATACCGTATTAATTTCAAAAAATTATATTAATCAAATACTTAATATATATATTTTTATAGAACTATTTTAATATCACAAATATAGGTGATTTTATAATCCAACTCAAACATATTATTCTACACAGTTACTAATATAACCCTTCAACAGATAAAATCAAGTTGTCATTCATGTAACAAACACAGATTTAGGGTATTTTTGTTAATTCAACATTAATACGATAAAATATTTCCCTAATTAAACAACCGATTAGATTAAATAACTACTATCCAACGTTTATATTGTGTATTGATAAATACTAGATAAAATTACATATTATTTTAATACCCTATTTAATATTATCTTTTGTCATACTTATATTGCATTAGACTGAATTATTTTATATAATTCATCCAATTCTAATACAACAACCAAAGAAGCCCTACAAATATTATTCAAAGACAACTGTGACCACCTGTTTGATCTTTTGGGTAAGTAGTGACCATCTGTGTGATACAAATTGACACCTCATGGCGTGCCCAGCTTATTCTCTAAACTAATGTGCCTTCGTGGCTGCATATCACCTGTCAACAAACTTTGTCTTATAATTTGGGCATCAATTTTATCCACATAAACATAACAACTACAATTCAATAACAACAACATGATGACATGAATTCAAATATATAAATATAAATAATAATAAAACGCAAAGCATATATAATAAAATAGAGTGAAAGGGTTCGCCCTAAAATCAAAAGGTACTAATTAACAATTGAGTTTTCTTTAAAACACAGGAGATAGTTGTCCATCATACGTCTCACCATTTCAAGTTAGCTCTTTGCTCGGAATGCATGGGTTGGATGTCCATCCTTCATTCTCATGTTTTATGTTATATAAATAGGGACTTTTCCTTCCACTATCCAATATAGGGAATCTATATTGATCACCTCACATCTGTTTTGACGGTCGTATTTCTTAAATATAAATAATAATAATAATAAATAAGTCAAAATTCTATTAGACACGAAAAACTCATTTAGTACCATTTGAAAATAATACGATAGAAAATGACATTGAACGATACGAATTGACACTCCTAATTTATACATATATAAAAACTTTATTCTATATTAAAGCCTGAGAAAAATAAGATATAAATAATTTTATCTTTATGTTAAAAGAGATTGGTTTTTAAATTTAAATTCACGATATATTAATTGGATGAATAAACACTTATAATTGTCTTATTATGATCTCTTTGTGAATATTTTTTAATTATTTGACATGTCCTACCTAGTATGACACGTGTGATAAGTCCACACGCATTTTGTTATTTATTTAAAAAAAATAACCATGTAACCATCATGAGAGTAGTCACCCTTTTATTTTAATCATAATAAAGTTTTAAAATACCATCATAATTGACAGGAAAAGATCACCAAATATTATTCCCCTCAACTCAATGAAATGAACATGGTTTTGAGCAATTTGTTAAAGTTTTTTTTTACCTTGTAATGATTGGAGCTATGAAACTAAAAACTTAGTACAAGGCACCAATGGGGGAGGCACCAAAAACCCGAGTTTTCAAATCGAACATGGATTCCGACCGTTTCAAGTACAATATTTAACATGACTATTTTTAGATATTTTTACAAAATAATTTGTCAATGAAATTTTTTTAATCACACTCTTTATAGGTTATTATATTTTTAAGGATACTCTCTCTATTTTTTAAATGTTCGTTGACATTTCATGTTAGATTAAAATTTTTAACTAGAATACAATTTTCTTAAATTGTTCATGATATATTTTAAGAAATAGTTCATCCACACCCTCTATAGATAGACATATCTTCAGTGAGATCCCTTATATTTTATGAATTTTTTTCGTATTAACGTTCAGGCCGATTAAAATTCGATTCGAGCAGATTAAAATTCGTTTTTAATCGACTCGAATCAAATTTTAATTAATTTACATTGAATTTTAATACTAAAAAATATAAATTTTAATCAACTCAAATTTAACTTGAATCGAATTTTATTTGGCATGAATTTTAATAACTAAGAAAATATAAATTTTAATCAACTTGAATTGAATTTTAATCCGTGCTACCAGCTCAGGTTGAGCTCAAATCGGTTTGAATTTTAATACGTAATTTTTTTAAATAGGCTTGCATTTTAATACGTAAAGAAAAAAAATTTAATAAATTTAAATTAAATTTTAATCGACTCAAATTTTAATATGTAGAAAAATGAATTATAATCGACTCGAATTTTAATATGTAAAAAAATAAATTTTAATCCGCTCAAATTTTAATCAAATTTTTTGTAAAAAGATTGTTTGGGGTTTATGTAAGAGCAATTTATGTATTTTAGATGATTTATTTTTTTGTTAGAAATGATGGTTTAATTGCAGGNTAGGCTTGCATTTTAATACGTAAAGAAAAAAAATTTAATAAATTTTAATTAAATTTTAATCGACTCAAATTTTAATATGTAGAAAAATGAATTATAATCGACTCGAATTTTAATATGTAAAAAAATAAATTTTAATCAGCTCAAATTTTAATCAAATTTTTGTAAAAAGATTGTTTGGGGTTTATGTAAGGGCAATTTATGTATTTTAGATGATTTATTTTTTTTGTTAGAAATGGTGGTTTAATTGCATGAGTGTTAGTGATGTTTAAATATAAACTAGAAAGGGTGTCAGTGATGTTTTGAATAATAAAATAGTATCCTTGAAGATATGATAAACTAAAAGAAATGTGACTTAAGTTTTCGCTTTATCAAATTAACATTCTCTGAGAAAATTATTCTAATACTTGTACTTTATATAAAATAATTTCCATATAACTTTTTTTAATCAGGTTCAATTTTTTTACTTATAATTTATGCATGAAAAACTTTTAAAAGAGCAAAGCAAAAAATTACCATGAAGAATTACTTTATAAAGAGTGTAAATAGCAAAAACACTAATGTTTGCAAGACACAATAAATTTTGATAATTATTATTCGGTCATTCTCTTCAATTCGATAGTTGTCCCACCGGAAATGGACCATGACTCCTCCCCCGCGGTATTCATTTATTTTGTTTCTAATGGATCTCAACTATATTAGGGTTTATTCTTAATTTTTTGGTGTAAAGTAAAAGAAGACCGAGTTTAACACAAACAAAAAATGTACATAAAACAAACACCAATAAGAATATGCAGCTGAAAATCATCCATTTGTGCTTTTGTATATTTGGAATTCTTGGTAAGACATCAGTTTAAAGATGTATATCGTTGTCAATGATTATTTGAATCACGAACCAATAGCGACGATTTTCTGATTTTCTTCTTGAAAGTAAAGACAAGATTAATTGCTTGCAGAAATCACTCTTACCAAATATGTGATGTTCCTCATGGCCAAATTCTATATGAAGACTCATTATATTCTTTCAGTGGCCCGTCCTTGTTGATTCATAATTGATGATCACATGGAGATTGAAATTGGCTCTGATTGCCAACTACCTAGCCAGCATAGGAGAGAGATAAAGGAGGATTTTGGGAAGTCAAATACGCCCTTTGTCTTTTGGGGGTCTGATTGAATTTGTGTTAGGTATATAGACACACAATGAGATTGGACCAAGCTATAAACGTGTATATGTATTTTTAACAGAAAGTTCTTCTGTGGTTGGTTGGGTACCTTGTAAGGTTACTTTGGGAGCCTTTGGAGGAAGGTCAAGTAGGAGTAGGCAGCCTATTTTTTAATCATCCAATGTTTGGTATAATTTTTTTTTTATAGGGTGTTTAGATTTGTGTCGATTACTCTTTCGAACTGATCACCATGATTTAAACTGGGTTAGAGTATGTATCTAAAAGGGATAAAAATAGATTGGCTCTACGAGGTATAGAAAGAGATTAAACCTGAAATTTTTGAGTTATCAAAAATCAGACTCAACCACTAAATCATCCCTAAAAATTTATATTTAGTCCAATTAATTCCAAATGTAAAACGGTCAGGAGTCATTTTCTCTCTCATGCTTTTTGAGTCAAATGTAAAACCAACCCATGATCTGGTTGGTAGCCAATCTCTCTCTATCTCTCATCCTTCGTGTACATAGTATTTTGATATGTATGACAGGTTAATAATACCTATCAAACTCAAGTTCGGATCACCTTTGATTCATTTTTGACGCGTTCAAGTCCATTCATATGCTAGTGCAATCCAAAACTGTTCACCATTTGTGAGCCAAGCTAAGCTATTCGCGAAGAGCTCGGTTTATCACCTATGTATTGACATCTTGCCCATCTACCGGGAACAAAAAAGACAACCCACACAGTGAGTGCATATTTCCTCATATATATATATTATATATTTACAAATATATAATATATATCTATCGATACACGGGTAAAGAATATTAGTGTCATTTTAGAAAGTGTAAGTGGTGTTTTTATAAATAAAATAACACACAAGGGACGTGATTGTAGTTTTCCAAGTAAAATCAAATAGGTGTGAGATAGATTTGAAAATAATTTATCATAGCATAGCAGCGTGGTGCCCGTTCAAAGACCCAAAACAGCCAACATAACCTTGTTCTGAGACTCCCGTGATTCACTCCTCTCTGTCTCTCGCCAAGTGGTGGCTTTAGAGAGTAAAACGTGTTTACCCAGAAAAATAATCTTACCCTGAAAGCTACTTCTTCCAAAAATCTCTTTCATGCTCATTAAAACTGGATTTGGCATTGAATGGTAAACCCAAAAAGAAACGAAATAATGATGAAATATAATAAATAATCTCACTCCAACCCCCCCCCCCCCCAGTATCTATAACATATACAAGGTAAAGATTAATAAAAGCAAGAAATAGTAAGAGAGGTACTTGTTACTTCATTTATACATATACAAACCACTAGTATATATTACCTATATCTAACATATAAGATTATAAAAAAGAACAGAATTTTCGGTGGCTTTGGATGCTTCCAGTTTTAGCCAATCGTGCCTGCCAGCTTTGCTTTGAATGTGTACATAAAAACTAGTAAAAAGTATGAACACTGTTTTATGGAGGAAAAAAAGTCACATATATAATGTATTGGTATATATATTTTCTAGAAAAGAATAATAGAAAGCACTGACAGAGGCTTTTTGTTCTAAAGCTCTGAGACGAATTTAGAGAGAGAGAGAGACTGAGGTGGGTAAGATGAGGGAGTTGGGGGTGATGGTAGTACCACTACTCATCGGCATTTTGGTACTGGGTGGTCCGAGCTTTATCAATGGCGATACAGATCCATCTGATGGTAAGCACTTCCCCGTCAATTCCATCTTTACTATATATGAATCTGTTGAATTAGCCACAGACATGGGGTACAACTTGTTAATGGGTTGTGGTTTTCTCTGGATGAAAGTAGATTCAGAGGTAGTTAGGCATTACATGAGTAAAGAAGATTTCTTTCTTATATACAGAATTTGACTCAGACAGAGGAAGAAGCTGCTCTTTTCTAAATCTTCTTTTCTGCTTTGTAGTGACTATAGCTGACTTTTGAATCTCATTAGTGAAATAATACAGAAAAATTGAATTCACCCAGAAATTCTTGGTGTAACAGGCGATGGTTTGTGAAGATTTTGATTCTGAATGTTTCTTGTTTAGCATTCAGTGTAATGGGCCTTCTGAGATAGAGGTGAAATATCGTAAAGATTGAGTGCTTTTTGTTTTTTCCCTCAAAATAACTGGTTTTCTGACTTTAGTATTTGCAATAATTAGTCTTCCGAAGATACTTCCAGTGGGTGCATGTTTGGCAAAACCTTGCCCATTTGAAAGTATTTATTAGAAGTTTAATGGAGTTAGTTTTTTTCTTCTATTTGTGCTCTGGAGAAGGAGTTCCATACGGGGATAAAATTGCCAACAGTGATGCAATTTAAAATGTTTGCTGATGATCAACAAGACCAATTAAGAGCAGTGAGAGTATGACTATGCCCTAAATAGCTTCAAAGAAGATGCACAACACTTAGAGGAAGCCGAGCTTTGGGTATTTCCAGGTTTTGACATATGCATGGGCAAGTTAATTCCCCAGCTGATTCTCAAGTTAAGCTGGGCACAAATTGCACTCCAATATCAGTCTATGGAATGGTTCATCTGAAAGAAGCAAATCTTGGTTGTTGTCTTTGTAGGTAGCATTGAGCATGGCCATCTAAAACTTTCAGTTTTTGAAGCTTATCTTTCAGTATTTGTGTCACTTTTATTGTAGATTTTGTTGATATAGGTTCTTGTAGTTACTTTCTATATCGGTTACGTTTGCACCATTACAAAGTATCAAGTACAGCCTATGCAACTTTAACATCCTTTAGGATACATATAAAACGCTTGATTGGATTTGGGTGAGTAATGTCATTAGCTTGTTGGGTGTCAAACTAGTTGCTTGATACCAGTGATTAAAATAAAAGATAAAACTTGTCGCAGTCTTTATGTAACAATTCCTACAATTATTCATATTTTTGTCTTGTGCTGTTCCATTTCACATCATCTTTGGCATTAAAAATTGATATTAGAATATGCAGAATCGTTTTGAACTTCTCTTAGATATGAGTGAATATATCCAAAGATAATCTTTTCCCATGGCAATTTTGATGCACAGCCTCTGCTCTCAGGGTCATGTATGGCAGTTTGAATTCACCACAGCAGCTAACCAAGTGGAGCTCAACTGGTGGTGATCCCTGTGGAGAGTCCTGGAAAGGCATTTCCTGCTCAGGATCAAGAGTCACAGAAATGTGATTTTCTCTTTATCCTTTCATTTTCTCATGCAGGTGTCCTCAAACATCGTCTGTGGTCTCTGATGTTTACTTTGCTGTTTGTTTTCCATCAGCAAATTATCAGCCCTTGGGCTTTCTGGGTCACTGGGGTACCAGCTCACAAGTTTGACATCAGTAACCAACTTGTATGATTAACGGCCTTCTACAATCTGTTGATATTCTCTCTTGCTTTTTAGTTATCCTAACATGGTGATTTGACAAAATTCTGCAGTGATATAAGCAATAATAATTTTGGCAATCAGATAACTTATCAGCTTCCTCCGAACTTGCAGCGACTGTATGCTTCTATTTGCATATTTTATCTTCTTCTATAGAAATTGTTGTCACAACTTTCATCTGCAATTCGTTATAATGCAGAAATCTTGCGGGAAATAGCTTCAATGGTGGCATCCCCTATTCCATATCACTGATGGCTCCTCTTAAATACCTGTTAGTCTTATTCTTCAATTTGCATATTTGATATATCACTGATGGCTTCTCTTAAATACCTGTTAGTCTTATTCTTCAATTTGAATATTTGAGTACCCAACATGATTTAAAGTCTCAAACATTGATTGCTTGTATTATTTCTCCAATTGTAGAAATGTTAGTCACAATCAACTTCAAGGCCAACTGAATGACATGTTTGGACAGCTTCCCGCACTCTCCACATTGTGAGATCTACCTCCATCCCAATCTCAATATTTAAATTTATCTGGGTTCTCCCACATCTTGTTTCGGCTGATGAGTTCACGATGTATACTTTGACTATCATCATGTTACTTACTGCCATTATAAAGATCACCTTTTTATATCTTGGTGTGTGAGCCCCTTTAGAGTCATTACTTACCACCACATGTTTGTGATTTAAAAATGCTTTATATGTTCTTTGTGAAACAAAATACCAGGACTATGATACCTAGTTTAGAAGTCTTTAGAAGTGCCATCTATCTTCTCAAATATGGGTAGGGCCGCTAGGGTTATCCAACTCCTCTAAATATATGGTTTTTTTCACTACTTCTGAGGTGGATTTATTGAAAATGGATGATTAAGAGTAAAATATAAGATTGTTGGTGCTCTAATTTGGTTGAGGGGGGATTTGATTACTATGTTATCTTTGCTTCAGGGATTTCTCTTTTAATGCCGTGACGGGTAACCTTCCTGAAAGTTTCAGCTTGCTTTCAAGTATGACCAATATGTAAGTACATTAATAATTCTGTTCCATGGTACTAATAGTTAATATATGTTCTGATCCTTTCTTGATCAACTTTTTACCATTTTGCAGGTACTTGCAAAACAATCAGTTTACAGGGACTATTGACGTCCTTGCCAATCTTCCCCTTGATAATCTGTGAGTGATATATGTATATTAAGGCCAAAAGTATGTGTGTATTGATCACACCTCAGTCAAAAAACCATTATTTCTGTTCTTGTGAGAGCCTAATTCACTTTAGCCATGTTCACTGATTCATGCTTATGTTTGTAGGAATGTCGAGAATAACCATTTTAGTGGTTGGATACCTGATCAGTTGAAAAACATAAACTTTCAGTAAGCATTTCCCACTGCTAAATCGTTATATCCATTATAAGATTACCATCAAGGTAGATTCTTTTTAGTTGGAGTGTGTTACAATCATAACAGGAAGGATGGTAACTCATGGGACTCGGGGCCTGCACCCCCGCCTCCACCGGGCACGCCTCCAGCCAGCAGGCCCAACCGAAATCACAATTCTGGTGGCAATAACCGCCCATCTGATGGTGGAGGTGGTAGCAAGAAATCAGGTGTTGGGGCTGGTGGTGTAGCAGGAATTGTGATATCCCTTTTAGTGGTTGGAGCAATTGCAGCATTCTTTATTATGAGGAGAAGATCCAGAAGGTCATCGGCAGATATAGAAAAGCAAGATAATCAGCCTTTCACTCCTCTTGCTTCGCATGATATGCAAGGTACACGTTCTCCATGTCTGTGTATCCTCATTTGGTTTTAACATATTTAAAGTTTCTTAGGGAATTGCTTGCTTTTGCTTTTTCTCTTTACGACATGGCATTATACTGCTTATGGAATTATGATGTGTTTGAATCGTCCTGTGGAGAAAAGATGGGAAAGTACCGCAAACTACTATAAAGTTTGCATATGCTTACAACTTCTTTGCAATTTGTTGCTCATTGAAATTTTATCTTTAACTCAAGGCTGTCTGTTCTTGGTATAAGATGATATTATGTGCCTATTTTGTTGTCAATTTCATCTGTGCAACATCATTTGCAGAAATGAAATCTATACAGACTTCCTCCACGGCTGACATAAAAACATTTGAAACATCGGTGTCTATAAATCTTAGACCGCCACCAATTGATCGTCACAAATCATTTGATGAAGAGGATTTCTCGGCGAAACCCATTGTTCCCAAGAAAGTCAGCACAGCTCCTATAAATGTGAGATCGTATTCTATAGCAGACCTGCAGATGGCTACAGATAGCTTTAGTGTTGAAAATCTTATTGGCGAGGGGTCCATTGGACGTGTTTATCGGGCTCAATTTGATGATGGAAAGGTATACTCCTTTCTCTGACGAATATGTAATTAGTTCCTGTTTGACTATGAAAAATTGTTTTCTTTTGTGCAATTGTACTTGCAGTTCACCTTATATATGCATTCCTACCTGGATGCTTCATGTTTTAGTGAAATTTATTCTAAAAGATATTTTCCATAATTGAGGCATTTTATGCTGGGTGCAACATAGCTCTGAATTTTGACGGGAACAGGTGCTTCTGGAGAGCATTATTAGTATGACTAATGTCATCCAGTGCTCATCAGTGGGCTTTATAAATATCAGTTGAGGGATTCCCATTCCAGAAAAATCCTTTCATTTACTGTAGTTGCCAAACCTCTGGCAACTGTTGCTGCTGATGCGCATATATGTATTTTGAAAGATATTTCACCATTTGTTTCTGTCAGATTTTCTTTCCTAATTGAATGCCCTGGTCTCAACTTTCTTAATCTTTGTTGACACACTAGGTTCTTGCTGTGAAGAAGATAAATTCATCTGCTCTTCCACATCCTGAAGACTTTATGGATATAGTTTCAGAGATATCCCAATTGCACCATCCAAATGTAACAGAGCTGGTGGGCTATTGTTCAGAGCATGGACAGTACCTGCAGGTCTATGAGTTCCACAAAAATGGTTCACTGCATGACTTCCTGCATCTCTCAGACGAATACAACAAACCACTAACCTGGAATACCCGCGTGAAGATTGCCTTGGGCACTGCACGTGGGTTAGAGTAAGTTACATTTCTTTGTGATTTCCTTTTATGGCATGTGAAGTCTAATTTTGACAAATGGTGCTATGTAGATGATATCCTTTACCTGTTTTCTTCCCTGTACAAAATTTCTTGATCATTTTCCATGAAGGCTATTTTTTAGTGTAGCATCATCAATTCGAAAGCTTTGATGTAGGACAGAAATTTGAATGGGTTAAAAAGAATTTATAAAGATACTTTAAGATGGTTCTTGTGGATGCTTTTACCCGTTAATTATGTTAATACAAGCAACTCAAATGTTTGCTGCCCATATTATAGTCAGCTGTTTCTAGACAAACTTAAACCGTTGACCTCAAGGAACCACAGCTTTCAGGATTTTAGGTTTCAGAGTAGAACTTGCTCTCAAACTTGATAATCAGGGGACAATTTATCTCAAGTCAAAGAAATGGATTCTTTATTTTTTATTCTGTCATGCACACATCTTGACGAACAGGGGATATTGAATTATTTATCATCACAAGTCAAGGAAATGAACTTTTCTTTGTTTTCCAGATAGAGGCAGCAATATCAACCAGATATAAAATTTAAACTAGGAAGCTAAATTTGCAGTAAATGGCCTCATTCTATTTTCCGATATTCCCTGGGAAATATATGAAAAGAATAAAATTAAGAAATGGGTGTATTTTGCTGTATCACCTTTTCTTTGCCTGTGGAGAAGATTAGATGAATCTGGTGCCAAGACATTCACATCCCCGCCACTCATATGGCATACATAAGTCCATCTAACATAGGTGGATTCCATCTGACCCATAGAGCATAGATGGACACCCAACTAGGGATTTCTGCTGGGAATAAGCATTTTTCATTCCTTCATGATGCTTTTGAGCTAGTCCCCTGGTGCTCACATTGGGTACCCTTTGCAGGTATCTACATGAAGTTTGCTCACCGTCAGTTGTTCATAAGAACTTTAAATCGGCCAACATTTTGCTAGATGGGGAGCTCAATCCACACCTTTCAGACTGTGGGTTAGCAAGCCTCGTTCCTGATGCAGATCAGGTCAAATTTCAGCCTCTTGAACTTTCTCTTGTTGTAGGTAACTCGTAGTTTTTTTTAATGCAAACACATGGAAGTTCACTTTCCTTTTTACCCTACTGGCAATGTCAATTGCCATTGCACTTTGTTATATGAATACTTTGACCATGACAGAAAAAACTGGATCAGGACAGTTTACATGCCATTTCTTGTAATAAGCCAGGAGAAATATTTTTTTTTTTAATTACTCCAGTAAGTCACGCTTTTCCATGCACAATTTGTGCATCTATTTCATCTGACACCCTTACACTAAATTTCTCCAACTTTGAGCAAGCTTTGTGGACTGTCAAAATGTTGGAAATCTATTAATCTTAACAAAATGTCATTAATAAAAAAGCTACTGATATGGCATATCCCATGAACACCCATCATGGGATGGAAGAAAACTTCGGATGACTTTGTGGGTATTCCTGTCGAGACTTAAGAGTCACCGGTAGAAACTCTTATTGGTCAAATTTGACAAATCAAAACAAATATCTCCCTTTGAGATAGGAAATATTCCAACAAATGGAGATGGCAAATGTTACATTATTCCTGCATTATGATTCCGTTTTGTTGTGCAAATGCTGCCCTTATTGCAAATATAGTTAAGTTTGCATCTCAACATTTTCATGTATTTTTCTCCCTCTGCTGGAAATTCACAGGCATTGAACCATAATGCTGGGTCTGGGTACGGTGCACCTGAGGTTGCCATGTCTGGTCAATATACCATAAAGAGTGATGTCTACAGTTTTGGAGTAGTCATGTTGGAGCTTCTTACTGGACGAAAACCATTTGATAGGTATATTTTTTTTTTTGTTTGAAGTGTTGTGTGTCATTTCTGATCATATTAAGCTGATGGAAAGAGATTTAGATGTATGTTTGTCTGATTAGCTATGTCTCTTATATCTGACACAGCACAAGGTCAAGATCTGAGCAATCTTTGGTTCGATGGGCAACACCTCAACTCCATGACATTGATGCTCTATCTAAGATGGTTGATCCAGCACTCAAAGGGCTTTATCCGGTTAAATCTCTCTCCCGGTTTGCTGACGTGATTGCGCTGTGTGTCCAGGTAGAATTAGCTGGTTTTATCGTCGTTCATTTTTGTGGATGATAATGCAATTCTGATGTCCTATATTTACTATTTTGTGACAGCCGGAGCCTGAGTTCCGGCCACCTATGTCAGAAGTGGTTCAAGCATTGGTCCGGCTGGTGCAGCGAGCGAATATGAGCAAGAGAACCATAGGAAATGAACAAGGTGCATCTGTGCGGGTTGACAACCCAGACACACCTTAAGGCGGCGTGGAATGCTTGTTTTGTTTCTTTTTTTTTTGACTATAAAAGCTCTAAACCAAACAAAAGTAATGTAGCGTTCTGCTTTTTCATTCTTTCCTATTCACTGTTCGTCATCCGCTGCTTATTTGTTCTCACTTGGGTCTCCTTTTTTTTTTTTGGCTTTGTATGACTGGGAGTAGATACTGGATTTTGTTTATACCGAATAACTGTGACAGCTCTATCCATCATCTTCCTCTGGTATAAAAAGTCAACCAACCTTTTTTATGTAACTTGCATGAAATTTGCCCCTTTTACGAATATTTCGTTTAAATCTGTTGATCCCAGAATCTGCTCACCATGATGGATGATTGACATGACGATTTGGTTACCGACGGGAGTTTTCCAGTAAAAAAAAGTCAAAGTTTAGAGAGATTTCAACGGTCAACCTTCGATGGTAAAGTCAAAAAAGAATGATAAAAAGAAATTATATTTAGTTGAGAATGAATTGCCTAGTAGAATGATGTATAACTTGCCCTTTTATTGGTCAGAATTGAACCGATAGAAGATCTAAAACAAAAACTAATGGCTCTAGCATAGATATTTCAACAAGTTTGAATTAGTCGAGACGAACCAAGCTGCCAAGCTAGAGTGCTGGCAAGCAGGGAGCCTAGGTTCTTGCTGGAGCTCACCTAATCAAAACTACAGAGCTCACAAGCTAAACTCCTGCCCACTTGCTAAGCTCGTGCCAATTTTACCATTATCAAAATCCAACCAACGTTATTATACTGCTGCAAAAATCACAGTTTCAGATTGAAATAAAATGTCTCAAACTTCCATGTCATTGCTCAAATAAATTGGGAAATCGTACCTTCTAAGTACTTTTTGGGGTCATTAAAATTTATGAAAGAGAAGTCGGTTAAAAATAAAAGTAATCCATTTGGTGACGGGATCAATCAAAATTATCACAAGCACAACAGGAGTTTGCACCAACCCTAGCTGGTCTTGGAAAGTTTTGTTAAGTGTAACAATAGCACCAGCTAAAACAACTCGATACAGGATCTTCATCTTAAAAACGAACGGAAACAACATGATGAATATTCCCCAGTTGTACCGGATACCACAATTTTCTTCAGAAGGTAAGCATGGCACCTCAATCAATTGTAGACCATGTACTTGGGAGTTGCACTGAACTTCTGGTAACCCTTGATGACTTTGTTCACTGCATCAAGGAAGTCTTTCTCTGTTACAGTCTTCCTTCGTGCTCGAATGGCATACATTCCAGCCTCTGTGCACACGCTCCTAATGTCAGCTCCTGAATGAGAGAAGATCCAATATTAAAAACCCAAATTTGGAACACTCATTGAGACGTTAAAAAAAAAAATAGCAGAGGGCAAAATAACAAATGCTTAAGAAACAGCTTCCTTTGTTCAGTTGTCATCAATGGCTACATCTGTTACAGGAGAGCTCCAATGTTGTTTTCAGCACAAGACAGTAGTTATAAAAAGGCCCAAAATTCGGAATAAACATTAACAAAAGCAAAAATTGACTAAAAACCAACTATGAAAAGGAATTCTGATCAATTTTTCATAAATAACGATATAATAATAACCGCATACTTGCCAAAATAGACATGGTGAGAAAAACAAAATAAACAAGCCAAAAGTCTAAAAGAAACAAACAAAAAGTCTCTCGACAAGTAATCTTCATTTTAATAACAAAGACACTTCTGTATCAGAAACTTTAATGCAGAAGTATAACATAAAAAGGTGAAGCTTACCAGTAGAATTTGGGCAGAGGCGAGCCAGAAGTTCAAACCGGATGTCCCTTTCACAGTTCATCGTTCGTGTATGGATCTTAAATATTTGTGTCCTGCTCTCAAGATCTGGTAAGCCGAATTCAACTTTGCGATCCAACCTTCCAGGACGCAACAGAGCTGGATCTAGTGTGTCAGGCCTAAACAAATGGCAGGGATGAGGCATTATTAATGTAAGCAAGAAGCAAGTCCACAAGTTTTAGAAGTCACCAAAAATCTAGAAAGAAGAAAAGGAGGATGGAGAGAAAATACAGCACCCTTAAACAGAAAAATACTCGTTATTCTGAAAAGAACAGGGTTCATATTTTGGAGATTGAGATTAAAAAGAGCTAGCCCTAAAATAGGGACAACTGAATGAGTTTCTCCCAACAAAAAGAACTAATGGACAAAAATACTGCAAAAGAAGGTAAAATAAAGAGACAACAAAGTCACCATGGGCTGTTTGAAGTCAGATTGGATGTGGTCCTCCAGTTGTGATTGTGAATAAACCACAAGCCAAACAAAAGGAATGTGGACAAGCACATGATAGAAATCTCAACCCCACCCCCCACCCAAAAAATAAAATGAAAAAACTGCCCCAGAAAAAATCAAAGGAAAACGGGTTGAATATAGAAAAACATGAAGTCTCGGAATACATCTACTAAGATCAGTTGTGCTCCAGGAACAAATAAGGTCACTCTTTCTATACAAGGTCAACAGACTTGATAGATACAGCTATAAACAGATAGGAAATTATAAACAGCAGTTATATGAGAAGTAGCCAACTTCACCTATTTGTTGCCATCAGAACTTTAATATTCCCACGAGCATCAAATCCATCAAGCTGATTCACTATTTCAAGCATTGTGCGCTGAACCTCATTGTCTCCACCAACACCATCATCAAACCGTGCACCCCCAATGGCATCTACTTCATCAAAAAACACAATACAAGCCTTTTTTGAGCGTGCCATCTGCCACAGCAAATGCATTAGTCACATATCTAACATATTAGCAAAACACAATTATCTAACGTAGCATGAGACACCTTATCACCTGAAACAGTTCACGAACCATCCGAGCCCCCTCACCAACATATTTCTGCACAAGCTCACTTCCAATAACACGAATGAAACAAGCATCAGTTCTATTAGCCACAGCTCTGGCTAAAAGTGTTTTGCCAGTCCCAGGAGGACCATAGCAGAGAACACCCTTAGGAGGATCAATTCCAAGCTTCACGAATTTCTCGGGGTGAAGCATGGGTAATTCAACAACCTACAACGGATGTTCAAGATATCAGGAAAAGGTATGTCATCTGTTATATTTGCAAACCAGTCTCTAAGGAAAACTTATTCGCAGGTAAAATGTTGGATATGCACCAAAAGATATAAAGGAAGAAAGGGGAAAAAAGGCTGGCTCAGTCACTAGGAAGGACAGACACTTCATTTTGAGCAGAGTGTCGGTGTCGGACACAAACACGTTTTCAAAATTTGTCGGCCACGTTAAAATAAGTGTCCGATTTTTTTATTGTTAAATTTTTTTAGGACACATTTTGAACATGTCGGGGACACGCGACCAACACGTTGGAAACACGTTTTGAGATATATTTTCAATTTTTTGAGAACTTTTCAGATAATTTTATAAGTTATTTTTGTAATTTTAAAGGGATACGAGTCACAATCATAATATGAAATAAGTTATAATTATTATATTGAACATTGGACATGATGCAATACAATTTTGGATACGAATACGAACTGATATACAAATGGAATAAACTTTTGATATGACAATAATGTGAGAAAAAATGGGATTACAAAATTAAGGCTCTTGAAAATTGATGAAAATTAATGTTACGAAATGTAATATTTTTTAAAATAAAAGTTGTAGTAGTCATTGATTGTTGGATTATGGATGTTAATGGTGAATGAGTATTGGTGTATCTTATATTGTACTTTTTATGCAGTGATATCATAATGTAAAATTTTAGAATTAAGGAAATGATAAATTAAAATATTATTATGATAATATTTAATTTTATCATAATTATATATAAATACATAATATTTCACATATTGTCAACGTGTCCGTATCCTACTTTTTTGAAAAACTAGGTGTCGATGTGCCTGTGTCGTGTAGTATCTGTGTCCTGCATCCGTGTACGTACATCTTAGCTTAGTCAACAAGGCTCATGGGACTATGGGGTTTGGGGGGGTCTTTAAAGAAAGAAAGAAAGATGGTCAGAATCAGATTTACAATATATCATACAAACCTCTCGCATCTTTTCAATCTGTTCCTTGCACCCACCAACATCATTGTAAGTCACATCTGGTTTTTCCTCTACAGTCATCATGGTCACACTAGGATCAATTTTAGGAGGCAATGGGATCTGAATTTGATACTTATTCCGATCAACACTGCAATGGTAGCATACTGATCAATCTAAATCCGGTATCTCACAATGAACTAGAATTAAATAACACAATATGAGAAAATGTACAGAAATGGAAACAAAATGGTAGAATTGCCATAAAAAAAAAGGTTTTTGGTTCTCAGGAACTATCACCATGACACCGGACACAAACTAACTGAAACCAAAAAAACAAGTGTATCCTGAACACATTACTTCACACCCCTATATATGTTCCAAACTTTGGACTGCTTGCAAATAATTCCAAATTTCCCAAAATATTAAGAACATGAAAAACACACTGGTGAGACTAGCACCAACTAATGGCCTTTAAGTAACTACAATCTCACACACAGCACAAACCATAAGCAATCTAATGGCTTTATCACTCTTTGTCATCACTTCCTTCCCTAACCTCACAAATACACAGTGGACAAGTAGGCTGGAGCTTCCATGTTCTGGCCTTGGCTTAGCCTGGTCCCCGGCACAACAGGGAGCTGTATGTGTGTTGGTCACTATAATCAAGAACACATGGTAATCAACATTTCTTATTCCTTTTGGAATTCTCGTCAAGCCTAAAATCTCCATTAATTGGATAAATTAAAAACAAAAAAATTAGATACACACTGTATAAAAGGAAACATTACAATCTCAGAAACAAAGTTAGTTCTAAGGACATGAAAACAAAGGAGTTAAGAGATGAAGTCTGGAATCGAGAATCACCGCCACCCCCTCTGGGGGGTTTTGGATTTTTTTTCTTTTTCCTTTTTATTTTTGGGTTTTTTTTTGGGCCAGGGGGGGGGGTGGAACTCAGTCGGCAGTGAGAAAAACAACACATTAATACCTGTTCTCACATCATAATTATTTGTGCCACAAAAAATCAAGAGTTAACATAAAAGGAGATGAGACATGACACAGGAGTAGGCAAACATAGAACTTTAAAACTGCAACCAGCAGTCTGAACCTTCAAGAAACACTGTTACTCAATTGGAGAACACCACATTCAAGTTGGATCACCTACACAGAATTGATCATAGATGATAGGTCATAACAAAACGCTCTCGACATAGTTTTAATGATCCATTGTGGTCATGGAAGTACCCTTTCAAAGTAACCTCAAAGAAAACCCATCCATGCATGAATAGTTGGGGTTGTCTCAAAGAAATTGATGTTACCGTCCACAATAAGCACATATACGCAAAAAGCTTGGCTGCTTATATACCGTAAGACAAGCAGAGAGGAAACCTACCCAACACGCATGCCTTCTTCAATATCCGTTGGGGAAACTTTATCGCCCAACCCAACAACAAACTGCAGTTATGAAGAGAGAATAACATTCAGAAAAGACGCAGAATATCTCCAGAGAGTAAATCAAATTAACTTACATAGCTTATTCCAATATAACATATACAAATAAATTTTTCACTATGTTTGCGTCTTNGTAAATCAAATTAACTTACATAGCTTATTCCAATATAACATATACAAATAAATTTTTCACTATGTTTGCGTCTTTGCCAAAATGTAAAAGAATGGGCAATATTATTGGATTCAGAAAGTATATCACACTAATGCATAACTGGCTGAGGTATGAACTCGCTACCTCCTATTTAGGAGCTAAAAANGGATTCAGAAAGTATATCACACTAATGCATAACTGGCTGAGGTATGAACTCGCTACCTCCTATTTAGGAGCTAAAAAGGATACCAATGGGCCATTAACAGTTTCGGATCGCATCCCCACTGTGATCATATTGCACTTTTCAGAAGTAGAAGAAGTAACAAATGCTGTAGCAGCCTCCACTGTGACAGTTAATCTACTGCTGTGATGCCACAGCTGTTTACTAAAGAAAACTCCCAAATTCTTGCCGCATCAAATCACTTCAGTGAATAAGCAGGCTTGATGATAGGAATTTACACATAATGGCTGCTCCGCAAAATCAAAAACCCGTACAACTTTGCTAATCAAATAGCATCGAAGACAGAAACCTCATTCTCTAAATTGACTACCTCAAAACTTCTTAAAAAATGATTACACCAACACTGCCTAAAAATCCCACCAATCCATTCTTCTAATTTTACTTGTTCCCTAAAAGAATACAAGGGGATGGCTACGTTGAAGGATATAGATATTTGAAGTTAATTTTAGAAATGAATTCAACCCCCCCCACCCAACCAAAAAAAAAAAAAAA